GCAATTGTATCGTATCGTGAAAAGGGAATTGACGTTCGCTAAAAATTGTTTGTTCGATCGATTTGTTGACCGATATTATATTGTACAACTGTCGGTGTGAACAACTGATGGTGCACGAATATGTTGCGTGTGTAACGTGTGTTATTATTTGCTTGTCGATTACTCGTACGTTATATCGTTCAATAATTCTTTGTAGTATTAATTACTTCGGTTCAGTTGGAACATATATGTACAGACATTCTGTGAGAATAATAATAATAATAATAATAATAATAATAATAATAATAATAATAATAATAATAATAAATGCCTAGAGCAGGCAGGAAAGGAGACACACACAACTATAGAGAAATGAATAGCGAATTCCTCTTAGAATAGATAGCGCAAGATTAAAATCTGAAATTTATCTTTCGTATTACCCTATTACGGAGCGGGGTTGCATGCAAATAGACACATCGAATTCTAACTAACGATTATTGTGAGATAGAGTTCATCCTCGAAGCTTTCTTTTCCTATACACACGATTTATATAGACCTTTTTTTTCTCCTGTAGTTTCGATGCACACGGTTCTCTTTCTCTCTCTCTCTCTCTCTCTTATTCGCCGTGAAATTACCGTACCAGTCACACTTAAGACACCTGCCTAGGTAGAACGAATTTCGAGAGAATTTCGCGAAACCGGCTACCGTATTTCTTCCCCCGTATCTTCCTTTTCCCTTCAATCGTGGGAAATATTCGGAATTTGCTTTCTTCGTGCGTCGACTGGACCGAAATTACGTTCCCCCCTCCCAGAAACCTTTGAACTTTTCGATATTTCTACGCGCTCGACCTCTTCGATAAAATTTTTACTTGGTGGATTCGTGGATTTAGAGGAGGAATTCTCGAGGAGAATAATCTTGGAAGAATTTTCCAAGATATTTTCCTTCGAGTTTTACAGATCGAAATTCGATATAAAATTTGCAATATATATATATATATGTGTGTATATAAAATTTCCGTGAACGATCGAAGAATATTGGATGCATTGAACGTACATTTCGTAAGAATTCGTAGTTTCGAACTGGGTAAAACGTAAAGCGGTCCCCAGAGGACGCGAATACCTGAGAGAATTCGGGCTAAATCGAGATAAATCGGGCGAAGCCGCGCCTTAAGTGCTAATGGCAGTTCAAGATCGTTAAACGTACAGGTAATATACGCCTATGCTGTCGTCGAGTGTATAATATATGTTCATACGTCGTCGTATCTCAATACGCGACACGTGTCGAAACGAGGCCTAACTCTAAATAAGTATACGGTACATATCATATATATATATACTATTATAATAGATCATTTGTCTAATTTTTTTTTTTTTTTCATAACTCGTACCACCAGGAAAAACATAGTTTAAACGTTTTACTCTTTCTCTTAATTAATATTTCTTCTTTCTCGTTATACGTTCTTCCATCCCTTTCACACCATTCCTCAAACACGAAATTATCCCACATTCGAATAAACACACGGATATCCTTATTTTTCTTCAGCAAAATACAGGCACGCAAATCCATTTATTCCTCCGTTCTGAAATCAATCGCGTACAATCACTTTCTTCTTCTTCTTCTTCTTCTTCTCGCCTCTCTTCGCGTCGTCCTTCTCTTTTGTTACTGCTTCCTCAGTGTCAATATTATATTTCTCATTCGTCGCTTCGAATATAATTTTATTTTATTTTATTTTATTTTTTTTTTTTTGTTAGAAAAATTTGTACTCTTATAGGGGAGGTATAGAGAAGACGACCACGACTCTGTCTTGTACTCTGGAATTCCTTTTCACGTTTCACGATCGTATCAATCTTCATCGATAGCTCGTCCAATTTCTCCGCGGATTTTTCTTTTTTTTTTTTTACTTCCTCTAGTTGTTCTCTCTCGAATATTCGAGATGAAATAACTTCAGGATTCGTCGAGCAGAAGACAGCCAGGTCGACCAAGCGAAACGGTTCCCGTTTGCCGTAGTCGACCACGAGGAACGAGAAGTACCATCATCGCAAGAATGGCGGCGTTCAATTAAACCTTCACAATCGTTCCGGCATTTTCTTTTATTCATTGTCCCCTTTTCTCCTCGCGATAAAAAAGAAAAACAAGCTAGCTTCTCTCTCTCTCTCTCTCTCTTTCTCTCTATACTTCTTCGCGAAGGAGGTTTCCTCTCTTATTTTTCTCCATTTGCACAGCACTCGAGACGTCTGCCAATTAAATTAAATAGTGTCGAGAAAAGGATCGATGAATCCTTCTCTCGTGCAACGAGGATTCAAAATAAAAAGGTATACTACGTGTGTTTCACTGTTTTCCGCTCGCGACTCATTCCCCCTCCTTCATCTCCTCGATTCTTGTTCTCCTTTGTCCAATGTTCTTCGTTTGTAATGCGATGATCGTGGGGCAAGAACCGTTTTACACAAAGTGGCTCGAGCTCGTTCTCTTCTTTCCTCGTGGTCGAGAGAGAGCAACGGTTCGTTTCTTCATCGTTTCTTTTTCGTCTCCATTTTCTCTTTTCTCGCTACTTTCTCTCTCTCTCTCTCTCTCTTCTCCTCTCTTTGTTCTCTTGTATGTCGACGAACGAAAAAAAGAAAAAAAAAAAAAAAGTGTACAACGCGGTGGAACGGAAGAAAAGCTTATAATAGCTTGGCCTACGCGATGGCCAACGAGAATTCATTCGGTCACAAGGGCTTCCGGAAATACGATTCAGAATCGCTATATACCGTTTTCCTCTTTTCCTTTTAGAAAATTTTCTTTTTATTTAAACATTTCTTCTTATACTCTTATTATTCTTCTGGCGGGCTTCAAATTTCAGTGATGGATAGAGATCCTTTCATTTCTCGCACTCACTCGCCACTCATTCCGAGATCACTAATCACCGGGGCGCGTTCAAGTCCTTTTTTTTTTTACTTTCCATATTTTCCATCCTTCCTCTCATCTCCATTCGAAGTAGAAATTCGATACTCGTGAGTCATGAATTTATCAAGGGACTCGTTTGTTTTCTTCTTTTTTTCTTCAGATAGATTGATCTCGCCAGAGACGTGGACGCGCCCAAGTTTTTTATGACTATTCATAAGCTACACGAAGAAGAAACTTATGGGAGATAGCTTCGAGTATTTAACGACTACGAGCAAAGGATAACCTACGAATTTAAAGTATATACGAGTCTCGCCGCTTGGAAACTTGCACGTTTTTTTCCCCCTCTTTCTGCCAGAGGATTACGATTTTATCGAAGTTTACAGGCGTGCGCGATCTAGAGGAGTGAGAGTCCTCGTTGAATCTCTACGATCGAAACAACGAATTAGCAGCGATTATAGTTTTCAATTGCGTATATATGTATATATTTATTTTGCATTACGCATGCGCTTCAAAGGGAAGTCGATTGATCGATACGTCGCTGCGATTCCTTCCTCCCTCGAAAGTTTTCTTCGAGGAATTGTTTTCAAAG